CATGGGGGTCCGTGGGGAAGCACTGGTGGTCCAAGTGGTTAGAGTGAACTCTAACAGTCTCGGAAGTCTCTAGAGTTCACTCTTGTGAGATTCAGAGCAATGCCATGGTAAACATGGCAATGCTCCATGCTTGCGGGAGGAGAACCAGGCGGAGCTGCAGGTTAAAGCTCCCACGGGTCCTCTCTCCCTTCCTTCCCCTGCCGGCTGCCAGCATTACAGTGCTAGCTAGCTGGAGAGGGAGATCTCTGATCTCCCCTACGGTCCTGCAGAGCTGGCAGTGGAGAGGGAGGCACAGTTCCTGGTGCTATGATCATATGATATTTGAATATGATATCATATGAAATAGGCAGCTAACAAAGTTCAGAAGAAGCTGAAAAAATGGTGATTGAATTGCTGGTGAATTAGTCAGAAAAATGACAAAGATGATATACGAGTTTCTTACTCAATTGTGTATTTTTGGGGAATTCAGTGTGAATTCAAAGTACATTTTAAATATATAATCACAGTAGGCAACCTGTATACATCACAGTTGATTTGAACAATTGTTCCTAGGGTATTTAACCTAATATTTTAAATTCACTTTGAATTCTCAACAATTCACACTTCAATGAGTGACTCTGTAATGAGGTCTGGAAACCAACGACTAGTGATGTCGAGAACACGAAATTTTCGGTTCACGAACGGCAAACGCGAACTTCCGCAAATGTTCGCGAACTGGCGAACCGCGCGAACCGCCATTGACTTCAATGGGCAGGCGAATTTTAAAACACACAGGGACTCTTTCTGGCCACAATAGGGATGGAAAAGTTGTTTCAAGGGGACTAACACCTGGACTGTGGCATGCCGGAGGGGGGATCCATGGCAAAACTCCCATGGAAAATTACACAGTTGATACAGAGTCTGGTTTTAATCCATAAAGGGCAGAAATCACCTAACATTCCTAAATCACAATGAATATGGATTGACACCTAACATATGACATATTGACACCTTGACATATGGATTGACACCTGTCCTCAGAGCCCCTGATGCACATGGACACAGAGCAGAATAGGGACTGGTCCCCCTACATAGGGTCACTTGGCAGATGTAATTGCAGTTGCCTGTCTGGGAGCTTCTGTGTCAGGCTCAGTGGATGCTTTGCCCATTTGCACAGTCAGTGCCAGCACTCATATCTGTTGTCACAATAACTTAAGCTTTACATTTAAAAAGAAAAAAAAATTTTCACTGTAATAGAAGAGCAGTTGCCTGCCTGCCAGCTTCTGTGTCAGGCTGGATGCTGTGCCCATTTGCACAGTCAGTGCCACCACTCATATCTGTTGTCACAATAGCTTAAGCTTTACAGTTAAAAAAAAATAAAAAAATTTCACTGTAATAGAAGAGCAGTTAGTTGTATGCAAGTGTCTGGGTGTCAGGCCTCCTTCAGCGTGTGCTCTGCAGACCTGTGCCAGTGTACTTTGACAGTTGCCACTCATATCTGGTGTCTCTGTAGCGTGCTTTTACAAAGAAAAAAAGGTTTCCAGTGTAAGCTAATAGCAGCCTGTCAGTGTCCTTCAAGCGGCTGTGTCAGGCCTACAGCCTGTGCTCTGCAGAACTGTGCCAGTGTACTTTGACAGTTGCATCTCATATCTGGTGTCTCTGTAGCGTGCTTTTACAAAGAAAAAAAGGTTTCCAGTGTAAGCTAATAGCAGCCAGTCAGTGTCCTTCAAGCGGCTGTGTCAGGCCTACAGCCTGTGCTCTGCAGAACTGTGCCAGTGTACTTTGACAGTTGCCACTCATATCTGGTGTCTCTGTAGCGTGCTTTTACAAAGAAAAAAAGTTTTTCAGTGTAAGCTAATAGCAGTCAGTGTCCTTAAAGCGGGTGTCAGGCCTCCTTCAGCGTGTGCTCTGCAGACCTTTGCCCGTGTACTTTGCCACTCATATCTGGTGTCTCTATAGCGTGCTTTTACAAAGAAAAAAAGGTTTTCAGTGTAAGCTAATAGCAGCCAGTCAGTGTCCTTCAAGCGGCTGTGTCAGGCCTACAGCCTGTGCTCTGCACAACTGTGCCAGTGTACTTTGACAGTTGCCACTCATATCTGGTGTCTCTGTAGCGTGCCTTTACAAAGAAAAAAAGGTTTCCAGTGTAAGCTAATAGCAGCCAGTCAGTGTCCTTCAAGCGGCTGTGTCAGGCCTACAGCCTGTGCTCTGCACAACTGTGCCAGTGTACTTTGCCACTCATATCTGGTCTCACAGTAGCTTGCACGCATAGTACCACTAATCCCCCAAAAAATGACAGGCAGAGGCAGGCCACCCCTCAGGGGCCATCGTGGTCGTGGTGCTGTGATTCCCTTTGGCCCTAGAATAATGCCCAGTTTTCAGAGGCCACGTACCCTGAACTTGAAAAGTTCTGAGGACATAGTTGACTGGCTAACACAGGACACCCAATCTTCTACAGCCTCCGCTCAGAACCTTGACGCACCATCCTCCTCCAGCTTAGCTTCGGGCACCTCTCAAGATACCACTCACCCGCCTGCCTCCACCACCAAAACTAGCACCACAGCCACTTTACTTGGTATGTCAGAGGAGTTATTCACACATCCGTTTGAAGAAATGAGTGATGCGCAACCATTATTGCCAGAGGATGTAGATAACATGATTATGTCTCAGGCAGGCAGCATTACACACATGGACGTACGGTGTGATGATGATGATGATGTTGTACCCGCTGCTGCTTCCTTTGCTGAGTTGTCAGATACAAGTGAAGCGGTTGACAATGACGATGCGTCCATGGATGTCACGTGGGTGCCCACTCGGCAAGA